CCGCAACGTACTTTAAAATTCGTTATTTAGCGATCCACACATGCTATACAAACTCCGGACTTTTAAAACTTCTTCTTTGGTGATCGACACATGATATATAGACTCCGCAACTTTAAAACTTCGTCTTTGGTGATACACACATAATATATATACCCCGCAACTTTAAAAGTTCTTCTTTAGTGATCCACACAACATATATAAACTACCCAACTTTGAAACTTCTTCTTCAGTGATTCAAACATGAGATATCGACTCCGCAACTTTAAAACTTCCTCTTTGGTGATCCACACATAAAATATAGTGTTTCTGCACCTTTTAAACTTCTCCTTTAGTCATCCACACATAATTTATCGTCTCCAAAAATTTAAAACTTTTTTTTCGTGATCCACACATGATATATAGACTTCGCAACTTGAAAACTTCTTCTTTGGTGATCCACATACGATATATACATTCCGTAACTTCAAAACTTCCTCTTTGTTCATGCACTCATGATATATAGACTCCGCAACTTTAAAACGTCTTATGTGGTGATCCACACATTATATATAGACTTTGCAACTTTAAAATTTACTCTTTAGCGATCCATACATGATATATAAACTCCGCAACTTTATAACTTCTTCTTCAGTGATCCACTCATGACATATAGACTCCGCAACTTTTTAACTTCTCCTTTCTGGATCCACATATGATATAGAGGCTCCGCACCTTTAAAACTTCTTCTTTTGTGATCCACATAAGATATAGAGACTCTCCAACTTCCAAACTTCTTCTTTGTTGATCCACTCATGATATATAGACTCCGCAACTTTTAAACTTCTTCTTTCGTGATCCACACATGATATATAGATTCTGCAACTTTTAAACTTCTCTTTTAGTGATCCACTCGTGATATATAGACTCCGCAACTTTAAAACTTTTTCTCTGGTGATTCACATATGATATATAGACTGTGCAACTTTAAGACTTCCTCTTTGGTGATCCACACATGATATATAGAATCCGCAACTTTAATTTAAAACTTCTTCTTTGTTGATCCACTTATGATATATAGACTCCCCAACTTTAAAACTTTTTCTTTGGTGATCCACTCATGATATAAAGACTCCGCAACTTAAAAACTTTTTCTTTGGTGATCCACACATAATATATAGACTCCGCAACTTTAAAACTTCTTCTTTGGTGATCCACACACGATGTATAGACTCCGTAACTTTAATTTCAAACTTCTTCTTTGTTGATCCACTCATGATATATAGACTCCCCAACTTTAAAACGTCTTCTTTGGTGATCCACACATAATATATAGCCTCAGCAACTTTAAAATTTTTTCTTTAGCGATCCACACATGATATATAAACTCCGAAATTTTAAAACTTCTTCTTTGGTGATCCACACATGATATATAGTATCCGCAACTTTAAAACTTTTTCTTTCTTGACCCACTCATGATATATAGACTCTGCCACCTATAAACTTCTTCTCTGGTGATCCACATATGAGATATAGAGTGCGCCACTCTAAAACTTCTTCTTTGGTGATCCAAACATAATAGATAGCTTCTGCAACTTTAAAACTTCTTTTTTAGTGACGCACTCATGATATATAGGCTCCGCAACTTCAAAACTTTTTCTCTGGTGATCCACACATGATATATAGATTCCGCAACTTTAAAATCTCTGCTTTAGTTCTCCACACATGATATGTAGATTCCTCAATTGCAAAACTTCTGCTTTAGTGATCCACACATGATATACAGACTCCGCTACTTTCAAAGTTCTTCTTTGGTCATTTACTCATGATATATCGAATCCGCAAATTTGAAACTTCTTTTTTAGTGATCCAAACAACATATATAGACTACGAAAATTTAAAACTTCTTCTTTAGTAATCCACACATGATATATAGACTCCGCAACTTTTTCTTTGGTAATCCACACCTTATATATAGACTGTGCATTTTTAAAACTTCTTCTTTGGTGATCCACACTTGATGTACAGACTCCGCAACTTTAAAACTTGTTCTTTGGTCATTCACACATGATATATAGCTTCTGCAACTTTGAAACTTCTCTTTTAGTGATCCACTCATGATATATAGACTCCGCAAGTTTAAAACCTTTTTTTTCTGGTGATCCACATATGATATATAGACTCCGACATTTTAAACCTTTTTCTTTGGTGATCCACACATGATATATAGACTCGGCAACTTTAAAATGTCTTCTTTAGTGATCCACACAACATATATAGACTTTTCAATTTGAAAACGTCTTCTTTAGTGATCCACTCATGATATATAGACTCCGCAACTTTAAATCTTCTTCTTTTGAGATACACACATTATATATAGACTCCCCAGCTTTAAAACTTATTATTTCGTGATCCACACATGATATTTAGATCCCTCAACTTTTACACTT